CTTAATATCTACAACTTTTGTATTTAACATTTTTCTCTAAATTTCAAATTAGATGCAAAACGGGGTGGCCAAAGTTCAAGCAATTACCCTGTACAATCTTTATTATTTGGTAGGTTGACATTATTTGGAAATAGCAAGAAAATCGTGAGGTCTGATTTCTCCCTTTTCCAAGAGTCAAATTGATGAATTTCATCTCGCTAGTAATTAAAGTCTAGTTTTGTGAAATTAATCTTGACAGTGTTAGTTTTTGAATTTACTTCAAAAATCCAAAATTCGCTTTCTGCGATTTCAGTTTCCGATTTATTGCAACTGCCCTTAACGTGCTTGATTTTTTGTGTGTTTCATTAATTGAATGCTCAACGATTGTTTAATGATCAAACACAAGTTACACGAATTATTACATGCAAATAATAAGACAATTTTTGCCCCAAATCGATATTCAAGACCATAAAGGTGTAGGATTAACATCGGTAGTATTCACATTCGACGAAAACTACTTGAAAATTCCCTCCTTATTAAGCGGGAGCATCAAGGAAAAATGGAAATAGGCAAATATCCAGCATGGCGAACGAACGGTTGAAAAGCCAATAAGATTCTTGAAACCGCTGTTATTAAGTACCACATTGCCTGTTAAAGTTCAATGAACAATCAAGCGATTTCGCAAATTCAAGAAACAATATCTACTTGAGTTCGCTAACTGGGCTCAAGTAGTCATTTGAACAAAGCCCGCGCGCAAAATATATTAGCTGCAAAACGCTGTAGCTTGATTTAAGAGCCTCAGTTTGGGGGCTGGGGGTTGGCTGACGCCCCCATACATCAAGCGCACCAGGTCTTCGCCCTTATCGATGTTGATGGCAAAGTTGCGAAATTAAATCAGCCTAGCGGGCTTAATTAATAATCGGTATGTCTCGCCGCCTTACAGATTGCCGTATATCTTCTGAAAATCACTTAACAAGATGGAGATAATCGGGCTAAAATCGCTCCTGGAATCACAGAACAGGGAATTTGGAATCTAGTTGTCTAGAATTTATCACTGGCAACACTCCTCAAATGTGCTTCTTCAGTTTTTCACGGCAGGAGTATGTGGATAAAATGAAGACAACAAGAGTAAGATTTCGTTTAAAGGAGACTGTAAAACCAATTTATTAAAATCTTGTGCAAATTTTTTGGTGTTTTCAAGTAAATAGGAGCATCAGTTTAGGCGAGAAATTATTGCAAAATATCTAAGAATAATTCGACATTTTTTTGGACAAATTTAGAACTTTATTGCCTACTTCCATTGGCGCTAAATGTCCAATTTGAAAATATCATGCAGAACTTTTCCATGAGCATTTCAGTCTTCGATGTTTCACACGAAATCCTTCATGGATTTATTTAGGCCGGTATTTAACCAATAATTACAAAATGATTAATTTTTTGTGTGCATCAAA